ACCACTTTTACACTCACTACCACTTTTACACTCACTACCACTTCTACACTCACTACCATTTCTACACTCACTACCACTTCTACACTCACTACCACTTCTACACGCACTACCACTTCTATACTCACTACCACTTCTATAGTCACTACCACTTCTACACTCACTACCACTTCTACACTCACTATCACTTCTACACTCACTATCACTTCTACACTCACTATCACTTCCACTCTCACTTACCAGTCTTCTCCCACTCCCTTTCTCACTCTACGTCCACTCATTCTCACGTCTACGCCCACTCCCACTATCACTCACCGCTGTCGCTCGCTCTTTGGGCAGGCGTTCCGATTCAATTAGTAATGTGACTGACACTTGATATGAATTGTGGTTGGAAGGCGCTGGTTCTCCAACGGGAAACTCGACAAGAGATGTACGATTCCACCTTTCAAAATATCGTGAGCATTTGAAGTAGTTTTAAGTCATAATACGTATGTGGCACTCCGTTAAACAGATATGTGTTGTATAAATAAATATATTTCCGATTGGGCTGCTCTCGTACCGCCCCGTTACCGTTTTCATATTTCGTTTTAAGATGCGGTCAGTTTTAGGTTCACATAGGCCCCTTTTTAGTATGTACTCATGGTTAAGAAGTGCGATGCACCCTGAAGGTCCATCTCAGCATTTAGTCTGGCATGGCATCTGGGGAGGGGGATAAGTGTGGAGTTTGAAAGGTGATACACGGCGGGTGGGATTGCCTTCCCCCACTCCACAGAACTGCGATTGTGTCTTACGTGGCATTCGAGGGCCACAGCCGCGGTGTAACACACGGACGCAAGTACTCGCTTCACCCTCCGTCGGAATGGGAATGGAATGAAGAGAGTTGAAAGGGCTGCCATACCAATGTGGTGTGTGTGTGTGTGTGTGTGTGTGTGTGTGTGTTTGTGTTTGTGTGTGAATAGTGGATCCTAATGATTTTCCCCTGTATGATATTTGTATAGGTAGGGAATTACAGTTTCATCGTTTAGGACATTGATTATTAGAACCTCTCCTAACCCTCTGTGGCATTTTCGTCTTTTAATGTTTAGAAGAATAATAGGAACCATGGTCTTGAGAAATTGCTTCTTGGAAACTCCGGCGTTTTCTTACTGTCAGGCATGCCCATAAACATGCTGCAACCTTATATTTTAATATCTGTCGATGAACATAACAGTTGTGCAATCGGAAAAAGAAGTAACTTGTACTAGTTTTTAATAAAGGAAGAAACGAGCACATTGTCATCATTGTCCCTACGGAATGGATAGCTAGCACAAAAATTGCTAACAAATAAAGATCTGTGCTATCCCTAAAAGCAAAAAAACCAAACTTGAAGAAAATAATTGTTATATGTTGCAAATTACATGTAGCTTACTTAGTAGATAAACAAAATTTTCTTTCAATTATTTTGAAATTATTTATTCAATTATTTTTATTTTGGGGTCCGGTATTGACCTCCCCCCAATTGGTGCTCTCCAGGTACCGGAATTAATTTGTGTGCTATAATTGCTAATGCCTGCTTTATAAACTTCAATGCCACGGAGAGACTTAATGTTTTGTATTAATCGTGGAGAACAAAATATGGCATTTGTGTAATAAGTCCTGGCTTTTTTGAAGGCAATACTAAATTGGGAAAACTTGTCACTTTAAAATGTCTTTAGTTAACATAATAAAAAAAGATAATCATGTTTCATTTTATAAATCCAATATTAGAAATATGATTGAGACAAGAAATATCACATTGGTGGGATACCTGAAGTTGAAAGAAAGAACTTTGGTCTGAATGCGGAACTAAAGTGTTGGTTTGCAGGATATACCTGTACAAGTCCATAATTTGATTACACCGAGTGTGGGGCCGAAAGTATTGTACAATTTACCCAACTACACTGTTAACCAAAAACTTCGGGGAAAGATTAGAGATTTCACCATTTGTTTTCACTGTGGTAATGGTTGTAGCGTAGATCAACTTCGACAAGCAATATGAATAACTTATGGTAAATGTGATTAGTTATTTCCAAATATTCATTATAAATACATATTTCGAACAAAAGACATAAATATTCACAATTAATATCAGATCTGATGTTTTCCACTTTCGTCATTACATACTCCAAAATCATAGCTGCATACGCCAAGTAGTTTGTGTAATTTTAATAAACATTGTAAGCGGAGTTTCCAGAACAAATGCGCCGGAATTTTACCAGTGTCAATCACATATTTAATTTAATCGGATTGTACAAGCCACCAACCATTTGTAAACTCACTGACAGTTGCAAGGATGTAGTAGCTCTGCGATCAACGCTACGGCATTTTATTGGGAAAAAGATTGGCATTGACGATTCACAGCTTCGGTTTCTCTGCTCCGTCACATCCACTTCGCTATCTGATCGAGCTTACAATTATTGATGGGTAAATAGCTTTGTTGAGTATGGGCGAGGGAGCTCGTGTGCAGTGTCGAAGTTTAGCACATTTAGTTTCAGTGAATGACTTGTAAGTGTTGCTAATCAGCCATCTTTTCAACATATTTAATTCTTTGCTGATTACGATTCTTTCTTATAAAACATTTCAATCCTAATAAAAGAAAGCAATGAATTGTTGAACAAATTAATATTTTCCCGCTAGTGTAAGACACTTTGAGTTGTAAAGCTATGTGTGCGTTAACGAAACTTGATCCCACTACGAGATTTCCTGACTGCCAATCACCTTTCTCAAAGACGAGGAATGCGGTTATTTTCATGACGTCGTGCTGCTGTGCGAGAACGGCTGCCCGACTATCAGTGAAAACCACTCATGAACCCGCAATGCACGTTCTGACAAGTATTTTTCATTAATATTCGTAGAACCTTCATTTACATTCACTGTCATTATTACTTGTTTAAATGTGTAAGTTAGCTCACGAGTTAGATCTTGAATTCATATTCATTTCCAACTTTTGTTAATCGTGAAAATTTGGTTTTCTTCAGAAACAAATTTGAAGAAACAATTTTTTTGGCATTGAATCTATATTTATATTAAAATGATAAAATATTGTAATATGAATGAAAAATCAGAAAACAATAATGAAAACAATTAAGCAGTCGTGTGATATAGAATGGAACATTGAGTAAGATTATTTTGCAATTATTCATTTACCCGTCTAACTTTCATAGAGTTGATAGATTTTCAAACACTACCAAAAATTCATAGGTATCATAGGTATGTTGGAAAGTATTTCTCTTTTGTACAGTCCTTTTTGTGGCGAATCATATGAACTTGTATTTCTGTTTTGTCTGCTTTATGAACATTAAACAATTTGAATTTAGTTGATAATCAACGTTTTCCTCCCAGAAAATTAAATTCTTCTTGTTTTGGCAAACTCAAAATCAGCAAAAAGGTTAACTTTCATACTGATAAAGGGTATTCACGTTCATGAAAGTAGGTATATTTTATTTTTTACTTTTTACAACTAACCTGCACAGGCATACCTTTACCTTTGTAAAACTAAATGGATGTAAAAGCTGAATTGCGATTTTTTAATTAAATTAAACACAGTAAACCACCTCGCAATAGCTAACATGTGTACGATAAAATGACGTTTTACTGCTGTTTGTTGATTGCTGTGGGTCTAATTAACATCACGTTACGGTTTTCTTTAAAACTACAAGCATTATTTTATACTGAAGTTATTAAAACAGTTTCAAAAACATGTCGCAACGCCAACGCTGAAAAATCTATTACATTTAGACACAACATTAATGCTGCTTACATAATATCTCGAAGAAATGCCTTTGATAAATGATACGAGGGTACCTGAACAATTTTCTGAAAGCAGATTACAAATCATCCTGGATACTCTGACATAATTAAACAATGTAAAAATAATTCATTTTAATACTGAAAATAATAATACCATGATATGAAAATGAACAACAATAATGGCACTAATAAATAGAATATTTGTATGAACTAGAAGTAAAATAGTAAGAAGTATGTCACATCTCTGAGATAAAAGTGGTTCGTAATTTTTAAAAATGTGTCACTTAAGCTTATACGACTTCGCTTTTAATTATAAAATGGTTTTCTGAAATAATTTTTAAATTAAATCATATTACAGATGTCCAATTTTAGTTTATTCAAGAAAGTTATTATAATACTTATTCGATTAAATGAATCGTATTAAGGTGATGAAATGAAATCAATTGCTGGAAGTTTAGAAATTTAGAAACAGAATTACGGCAACCTCCGTTATTAAGATTAAATTAATTAACTACATTTCAAATGATACCCTATATATAATTGTAATCGCAAATCTGAACACTAAATCTAAACCTATATTGAAATGTCTTGAATAAAAAATACAGTTATTTAAAGATTTGAATAAACAGACTGTTCTAACTTCCATGATTGAAATTAAGTCTTCGCAAGTAGACTACGGGCAGAAGGAGAAATCTTTTGAAAATTATGTTATACACGTACAAAAATCATTAGATTATTGTCCAATCCGCGTTTTCTAAACCACATAGAGATAGCACCACATGTAATAAGTGTCCACCTGAGTTGCTAGTCGCTACGGCTACGAAGGCAGAGCGTCCGCCCGGGCGAAGGGTGTGCACTACTCACTCTCCTCCTCCGGAGGCTCGGGTAGGCGGGTCTCGATCTCGGACGTGGACTTCTGGCGCCGCAGCAGGCGCGACTTGGGCTGGCAGCGGCCCAGCTTGTCCTGGCAGTCCACGTGCACGTTCAGCTTGCAGTTGCGGCACTTGAGGCCCTGGCGCGTGTGCCCTGCGCACCGCACCACGCACGAGCTGTGCTACACCGACCCCTACAGTGCCTTCGATTCCTCTCCGCGTCCTCAATACAGTAGCGCTAATAAAGCGCATCACCTTTCGCACAGTTGTAATATGCAACGTAGTCCTGAAAATACACCACTTGATTTGCGAAAATAGAGTGAGTTATGTAGGTAATGGAATCAGAAACATCATATAATCCACATAAAATATAGGATTATAAATTTCTACTAATATTTGTGTAAAATTTTTCAGAGCAGATTGGATTAGTAAAATACAGAATGAACATTTTTTAGGTGATGCGATTTTCTGAGCACTACTGTAGACTACTCATAAAAATAATGCTCAAAATGGGGAAAATGGAAAGATTGTATCAAAAAAATTGTAATGAACCTTGAGTTATTCGACAACCGTTTTAAGCAACATAGTTTATCGTCATGTTGTCTATTTACATACAATAATTGAGATGAGATTGAAAAAAATGTCTAAAATCTCCGATTCTCTTTTACCTTGAATGTACCTACTGAATTTTCTGTTTCATTACTTTGATTTGCAACAATTTTATAAAATAGATATTATGGAGTGTAATAAACTTTTAACATATTCGACATTAACTAGGATTCGACATTAAAAATATCCATTGTGTTTTAAAATAAGCCTAAGACTGTCATGATTTTATTATAGGGTTTATGGTTTGCGAAGAAAATCTCGAAAAACGTATGAGTTGCTCAAATGAATGCCAATCACAGTCCTGATTAAAATGAGCGTACTGACAGTCTTGAGAGATTGCAAGATTGAATATTTTCGCAGTTTTACCTCTCAGTAATTTAATACTGTTTCTTTTAATTATTAATATAGATAATACTTTTTAAATAAATTCGCCAAATTATCACTTTTCAACCAATACAGAACACACATTTGGGATGCACGAGCTTTTATACTGCGTTAAGCTCACCATAGTCACAATTAATCACCTGAAACCATAAATTTTATTTCGTAAGATTTGACCGGAAACATGTAAAACTAATGGTTTTGAAAATACTAAGTGCTCACGTCCTATCTCCGTTAAAAGTCGGAGTCCCATTTGCATCAGAAAGGAAGCACCGTACAGCAGAGGAAGTGTACTGGACCTTGAGAGTCACAACACACGGGAATCTTGGCTGCCTGGGAGATTCAGGCTTGCCAAATGTTTAGTTGTCACACTGCGATCTTCTTCATGAATAAAATATTTCAAGACTATGAATTACTGCTATAGTTCGTTTAGCCCTGATCACGGCGGATTCATAATATGACGACAAAAATGCAAACATTTCTAATTAGAACCCTACCTAGAACTTGTCATCTCAAAGACACGCTCGGTCGCCTTCTTCGGGGCTAAACATAATAGAGCGAAAACATTTTAGCTCCAAAGATCGCAGCACCTCACGGAGGATTCATAATATGACGACAAAAATGCAAACATTTCTAATTAGAACTCTACCTAGAACTTGTCATCTCAAAGACACGCTCGGTCGCCTTCTTCGGGGCTAAACATAATAGAGCCAAAACGTTTTAGCTCCAAAGATCGCAGCACGGCGAGGAAAGCACCGGCAAATTTTCTTATGGCGTGACGTTTTAGTCACCCTATCACGATATTTTTCACAACTGAAACAAGTTGCCCTACACCGCGTGCCCCGAAGCGTCGGCAGTCGAGCGTAGGCGTCCGGAAGCGCCGAGCGCGCAACCCACCTCTAAGCACCTGCGAGCAGGCGTCGCAGGGCGTGATCTTCTTGTAGGTGTACTCCTGGAAGGCGTGCGCCGCCGCGTCCGCCGGCTGCTGGCTCATCTCCCGCTCCTTGCCGTTGCGCCTGCAACCGACGCCGGCGCTCAGGGGGCGAAGGGGTGCGGGGGACGCCTCGCAGCAGGAGGGCGCCGAAGGGATCGCAGGCGAGACGATCTTTTATGTTCAAGGGCAAACGAAACGACTTGAACTTTCTCGTATGTGTAATTGTTGGCGCAGAAGTAGAAAGAGTAGAAAGGTATGGTTCGTTTCTCAAGTTAATCTTATAAAGGAATTGATAGTTTGCTGAAAACCAAATCAATTCTCGTGGCACATAAGAATCATCAGAAATATAAATATAAAAATTCATTTAGGCTGAAATAAAAAAACATATTTCGACGGCGAAAAGTTTATGAACATCAACTCGTTTTTGAGATTAATATACATCTTCGTGTTCTTTTGCGTTGAAAACAATTTGTATTTCTATAGCCAATCAATTTTATTGACCACAAATATGTTATTAAACAGATCCAATTGTTTTATACAAGCGAAATATAACGAGAAAGTAATAATTCAAAATTGAACACGAAAATAAATCTCATTAGATTCTGCGATTTTTAAGTTGTTAACATTAATTTTCAATCAAGTTATTTTATTCATTGCATGTTTGTTTGGATTACTTAAGGATTGAGGAGTTTATTACCCAATATCCATAGTATCTGAACGGGAAGGCATTACGCAAAAAGCTTCGCCGATTTTCGTGACCTCATTAAAATCACGTTGAGTAGTGTCAAAAGGGACGTATGTCTGCGAGAACTCGATCGGTCACACTCTAAATGCTCCGAGAACAGTTGCTCTCGATTGCAGACAGTGGAGCGACCGCGCGCAGCTGGAGGGAAAGGTCAGGCGAGGCGAGGGCGGCGGTGACATTCTGTTTCTGTCGTCCGCTCGGCGCATCCCTTCTGCGAGCCTCGCCGCTCCGCGGGACACATGGAGCCGAGGCGCTCCTTGCGGCCAATGCGCGCACTACGGAAATAACTTCCTTCCAGAAGCAATCGGCTGAAAATAATTGTTTTTGTAAGCAGTTAGTTTTCCGCGATTGCGTGACTAGACGTTCAAGAGATCAAGATACCTCGAGCGTTATATGTTAAGACAATTTTTTTCACCCAATTTCAAGTTTTATGTCCTGTTTTATTTTTTTAGAGAGGTAAGTGAACATTTGGCGCACTAAAACGAAACGAAAATAAGCACATGAAGTTAATGTTATGGCGCATTTCAAAAAAATCAATCGCGAAATATTTGTGGCATATTCATTTCAAAAAGATAGAAAAGATCTTGATATGACAGATTATTTAGGTTGTACATGTTATATCAGTCAACTTTACATTTGTAATTGCTAAACGACAATCCTAAACTGTAGCGGCAATATTTATTTTGGGATTAGCTTTAGCCTACTAGTACTTCCTCAAGAATCAACCAACGTCTAATAATTTAAAATACGCACTGAACGTCTTTCAAAACGCTGCGATATTTCTAAATTTATATACCAAAGTTAGCACTAAATGAACATTCCTTTTTATAATGTGTGCTAATTTGTACTACACAATCTGTAGTTTACGCGACTGTCAGATTGGTTCAAGCTGAGTATTTCACGCGTTTCCTTATAAATGAAAAAGCGAAAAAACACAGTATATTTGAGAACAACGTTTTAAAGACGGATTTCGAACAACTATTTTGCGTCAGATCTCCTCGGAAACGCCCGGGACAAACTATTGCAACGACGCGCTTCAGAGCAAGGAACGCTGCCGAAATTAGCATTTCGAAATAGGTTACGTGACTCTCGCAGCTACGAGTAGAACGGGGGGAAACAGCGCATGGCGCGAGTTGTCTGTCTCCCTCTCTCGTTTGAGAGACATCAATTTGGCGGATCGAACGCCCCCGCTTCACTTCAGAGATGAGGACAACGTCCTACGCTCAAAACGCGCTGCCTTCTCAGAGATTAGATTCCGAGGAAGAAGCTCAGGAGGAGAGGCTCTCAAAAGGAGAAGGAAGGGATAACAACGCGCAGCAGTAATCCACAAACCAAACAGATTGAGGAGTCTTCCTAGCGGAAAGACACGCGGGGCTCTGAAGCACTGTAGAGGCTTCGGGACTCCAGTGGATTTGAAGCGAGAACCTCATCGCTCGAAATTCAGAAAGGGACGATTACCGCGGTGAAGAGCTTTTCCAGACAATGTAAGCTAACGACTCTGGCTTGGCAACTTCTGGTGACGACGCTTTTGACGCACCAACGAGTCTCAACCCTTCAGTGATAGTCAACAGCTCTGTGATTCTGACGGAATTTTTCGAAGTAGGCCACGAGCAAAGTGAATCAAACTCTATTTTCTGTGATGAAGCAAGTGAGAGATCTACTCACGTACTGACGCAGCATCTGGAGAGAAAAGCTATAGGAAATCGCTCTCTCTTTCTTCTACCTTCTTTCCGCTGAATCTCTTTGCCTTCAACCACGTTCCCTGCAACCACGTTCCCTTCAACCACTTTCCCTTCAACCACTTTCCCTTCAACCACTTTCCCTTCAACCACTTTCCCTTCAACCTCTTTCCCCTCAACCTCTTTCCCCTCAACCTCTTTCCCCTCAACCTCTTTCCCCTCAACCTCTTTCCCCTCAACTTCTTCCCCTCAACCTCTTTCCCCTCAACTTCTTCCCCTCAACCTCTTTCCCCTCAACCTCTTTCCCCTCAACCTCTTTCCCCACTCTCACTCATTTTCATTCCGACACTATATTTTTCCCTTCGCGTATTTGACGTCACATCGGGCGTCAGCGCTCGGGGCGGAAGAGAAGAGATCGGCAGATAGCTCTCGAGGATGTAACAAGATGAGCGGAAGTTTGGGAAACTTGGGTATGACGTAAGCTCCGAAACAAGATGTCACGAAGTTCGTAGGGGCTGAGAAGGTTGAGCCAACGTATTTGAAACTTGGAACGTATCGATCACAAATTTTCATACTCAATATTATTTAAACCACTTTAGATGAACCTATTTACCAGTCGGAAAGATGATTCCATACCACTTTGCAACAGTGCCCTGTGGATAAAGCACTCATTTAGATATACAATGGATGAAATCTTATTCTATTATGTGTGAAAATTTGTTAGCATGTTACTACAATTGGTGTAGTCGCATGCAAACAAAAGTTACTTTGATAAGTGCGGTTTGGGGTTATATTTACAGAGGATTTGGAGATTTCCTGGAAATGAAATGTTTTATTTATTATTTTTGGATGTATTAATTATTTGAACTCATTTCCAGAGAATCTGCCGATTGTGGTTTTGAATCACACTGTAAAACGAATACAAAAAGCAAGCAACGTATGAGGATCATTTTAAGGAAAGTAATCTTTCTACAGTTGCCTATAGATTGTTTTGTTCATTACAAACCAATTTCTACATGAAATTCTATCAAAATATTTTTTTCTTCTTCCAGAATAATTTTCTTCCCACTAGAGGACATGTAAAGGTTATCTATTCTCTCTCTCTCTGCTCCATAAATGAACAGTGCATTATGTTCGCGCTTGATGCACGTGGTATCACTGGAATTATGAAGAGAGATATTGTGAATAAACAAGTGTATAAAAAACGATGTGTGAACAAATCATTCGTGCACCAACACCAATGCACCAATGAGTGCTTGCATTCACCTGTGAAACTTCATCCACAGATTCTGGGAGTATGAACATTTTACACAGCGTAAGATTTTGATTAAATCGGAGTGATTATTACGACAAAAGAACAATATAATTTAGAAAAAGATCCATTGATCATCGACGTTATCAGACATAAGATTCAAGATATAGAGTAAGCTCACCCTTCCTTTAATACTTTTAAGATTTTTAACAATTCAGTAGTAGCTCTACAAGTGATTCTGAAAGAGTAAGAAGTGGTAAGCCAAGTAAAAATGCATTAGCAGCGAACGAAAATGAATATGAAAACATTTTGTTAAGTCAGTTTATAAATCGTGAAAATAAGAAATGACGAAAGAGAGGAAATTTATATCATAATTATTGTAAGTACTCATTAAAAAAGGTTTTCATTTACAAACAAACAAATATAGTATTATCTCCGAATATTAAAGTCGCTATGTGATTCATTTATAAAGATCGTGGAAGAAAAAATATTCAAGAATATTTTTCACGTAGTTTTCCCCTTTTTCTACAACTCATATTCTTAATTTTTGACATATGTAATTTTGCTACTTACTAAGAAGCTGTGAACGAGTTTCTATACTAGCTCATAACCCAACCATGTTTATAAATGAATTCAAAGCCTGCGCGATCATATAAAGATTGTGATGAATACTGATAATATTAAAAAAAATGTTCTTAGGGAAATATACTGGAGAATTGTCTCAGTCAAGAAGTTGAATGGCGGAGGGTCGAATAGCCACTTGACACAGAAGCAGAGGGGGTGGGGTGGGGCTGGGGGGAGGAAGGGAAACACTGCGTTGGCCGCAGGCGCTGGTCGTGGCGCAGCAGGGGGCTCTGGTTCTGCACCCAGTCGCGGAAGGGCCATGGGCTGAAGCCCGTTCTGCTACCTTTAGACACACGGTTCTTCCCGCGGCTCTCAAGGAGATAGCTTCAGAAATCAGTGTGATTTAACATTAACTATTTCTTTCGCTTTTAATTGTTTAAATGTTACTTGGAATAGTGATGAGTAGAAATACTGTGTAATTAGAATATGATTAATATCATAAGAAGCCATGGCGAATCCATGAAACATCCTGGTAATATTGAAATGCTGAACATTAGTATTCAAACTGAATTTGAAACTATGTATATGATCTAGGATCTCTGTAATTTAAAAACTTAATATTGAAACAATAAACCCAACACATACGTATAAATGTATTTTAAAATTACGTGTATCTTCTTTTTTGTATGGCAAAATTAAAAAAAAGATTGAAATACTTTTCGATTTTGAATTGCTTTTAATAATGTTTTGTATCTCAACAAAAAGGATGAAGTTATTTTAACTGGACTAATATTCAATTTTATTTACAAAACGCATTGGAATACATTTTCCAGAGGGGGGGG